AGTTAAATAACAATAGTTTAACTAGTAGCTTTAAAGCTTGAAATATAGACGACCTAATTACTTTTTTTATGTCACAAGGTGGTAAGCGAGCTGCCAGTTCATCTGATTTTAAGTGATTTACCACCACCCATTGACTTTTGCAAACCCCGTAGGGTTGCAGATGCGTCACCACCTTCCTCAAGTGGGCCTCAGCTACCTCACTTACCAGACGAAATGCAGAAGTATAACACTCCCTCCCTCGTCACGCCAGTCTTTTGTGAGTTACGTGATACTTATCTGGATGGACCTGCCCATTAATGCTACAGCGAAGTCTGTACCGTGGCCCTACCACACTTTAAATATACCTAAGTCTGTGTAATATACTATTATGAAAATGAATAGTCAAGATTAAGCAACAACAATAGTGTAACAAGTAGCTTTACAGCTTAAAATATAGAGGATCTAATTACTATATTATTTTATTATATATTTCTAACATATTTAATATATTATAATATTAGGATTTAGAAAGAAATTCCGAATTTTTGATTTTGAAAATTGAGTGGGTGGGTATCCATATTTATCACTATTTGACAGCTTTTACTGCATTCGTTTTTAATATTGTTTAATAAAATATCATTATTTTTAACAGGTTTTAGAACTGGTTTAGCAATATACCTTAACAAAACTGAAGAATGGTGTACATATGTGACAATACAATATAATGTCTGTTTAATACGACACACTCTTCCCTTAATAAAACTCATTTAAAAACAATTCTAAGCTATTTTATGAATACTTTCATTTCCAATCATGTAGGGTTACATCATATTACTAAGGAACCAGTAACTCAGCTTAACTTATTAATACCTAAAAATGTGTTTGTCTAAAAAAAATTTTTAGTAGAAATTACCTACTGCTATTGCTATTTGTTATGATAGGTATACGTATTTTTAAACAAACCATATCACGTTTGGCGCGATAGAAAGAAATTATGAGAGTAAAATTTTTACGAGGAGCGTGCACAGCGACAGCCAAAAAGCGACATGATGATGTTGGTTGCACCAACTTCGAGTAACTTCATGGATATTGCCATAGCAACAAATAACAAGTTTTTGACATTTACCTATAATTCCAAGTGATTTAATTAAACCGTTATGAATTGCATTTAATGTCTCTTTCACAAACAAAGATTATTGGCACAGGGGATAAAATTTATAGGTATTTTTCACTGGTTAAGCTAAAGAAGTGTAACGCACACTTATTTTAGGGAAATTATATTTTTATCATAGTTATGTTTGTTTGAACAAAGTTAAAGTTGCAATCTCTTATATAAATAATTATTTTTATATTTTTTTATGATATCATTCTAGATGAACAAACTAACCTTTAATATGTAAAAAATACACGGCATTCAATTTTACAATAGAAAATATCTATGAAGTTTTGTTAACATGTCTATAAAGTTTCCGTTTTGCCTGCAAATCCTGTTTCGATCGGATAACATACTTAGTATTCTACATGAACAAACTAACCTTTAATATGTAAAAAATACACGGCATTCAATTTTACAATAGAAAATATCTATGAAGTTTTGTTAACATGTCTATAAAGTTTCCGTTTTGCCTGCAAATCCTGTTTCGATCGGATAACATACTTAGTATTTATTTTTTATATATTTCTTTTTAGTAATATCAAAATGTAAAATCCGTAAACCCCATTTAAAAACTTTCGCATCTATTCGCCGCTAGATGGCAGAACAGGTTGTATTTTGAACGAAGAATACTTAGTTCGCATCTTTGCCGCAACGTATTAGCGCCACACCAAACTGTACAATATTCCAACCGTTAAGTTATTAATCAAAAATATATTTTATGCGAACTCAGAATTATATTAAAAATATTATGTTTCAGTTAGTCTCACGATATAATAGCACATAACAGGCTTTGTTTGGCATGGCATAGCGCATGGCCCGTTTAAGCTAATTAACAATAGATCGAATCCGACTGCTGCAACAATGAAAAACGAAGAATAAATGTCAATTTCACAAACGACGAGGAGGGTTCGGTTTTAAATCGAATTCCGTTTAATAATAGTAGCGCGTTAGAGTTGAATGCACTCTTGATAGTACGATACTTTATTGTATTGTAGACATTATTGCGTTTTCATATTGGTATACTTTCATCTATAGGTTCTATTATAAGCGTATTGATGTTCCTCATCACAACGTTGATGGAAAGTATATTTTGACGTTAATATGATATTGCAAAGACATTTTTTCAGTACTGAAATATGACAATTGAATGGATTATATTGGAGTATTAAATGGATTGGAGGAATTAGAAATTACACATTAAGATATATGTATGATGAATAATGAGACACGGATGCAAAGAGTTTTCTGTCGCATGATATGTTTTTGATTTGTTTGTATTATAACTATAATAAACGCTAAGGCTGTATTGGTACTGAAATTATTAAGCTAGGGAAATTTAAAGTTTTACAAGTGCCAGCAATGTACGTAAGCGTTAAAGCTTAATGCCAACTCGCGGGAAGTGTTTAGGAGCATCGAAAAGAAACGAAACACCTTACTCCGCCGTCGAGGATTGGCTGCCATTTTTAAAAAGACCCCGACCACAAAATAAATCTTCGCTATTTAGCGTCTGGCAGAATCGGATGAGGGCACCCGCGTTGGCGTTCGATTGGGATCTGTGCACCCGATTCGTTTGTTTAGAGCATAAAATGAGTGACTCAGTTTATAAAACCTCTTCTCTCCGTTTATTAAAAACGAAGAAGTTGTTTTATTGAACGTTATAACAGTAAGGACTTCACATGATTAAATAAAGATATTTCATCGCATTTCTTTATATTTGTTAATCGTTACTATTTCTGAAATAAATGAAATTCATAAGATTGTTTTATTTACCACGTGTAGCATTCGTGAATACATTATGAAACATCAAAGGTAATGGAGGCCTAGAAGTAAAATGGTTGATCAAGTTTTATCGATGTGAAATTTAAACTGCTCATAGCATTTTTCAATTAATAATATTTATTCAGAATTTGAAACGCAGTCATTATACTCCACAAAGAAAATTGCTATCGGTGGTACAGATTATTATAAAATTTATTCCCGTAAAAGACAACTATCGAGGCGGGAGTGGGTCCCGAGATTAAGCGACTTCTTCGAGTATGAGAACGACCCCGGCCCGCTGAGTCGCTGACCACTGCCACCCGTTGCCTAGCGACCGCTCGCCACCTCATCATCATAAACAGATCATCCGCCATCTTATGTGAATGTGAATGCTTGGCGAGTCAAATACGCATGTCTCCATATACGATGCGATTAACGTAAATAAACTCGATTTTGTTACATTCAATTTTAATATTTTCTCTATTATAGACACATCAAAAACAATTTTAAAGTTGCGCCTTAAAAATGGTTTTAAAACTAAAATAGTTATTAAATTTGCAACAATAAGAATTCAGGTCCATTTTTTTTCAGGGTCGTGTTATTTTAAAAAGTAAAAACTATATGAAGGGGTCGGTTTTCTCCTATTGTTTTTAATTTTAATATGGTAGGTAGTATGACATTAGGAAATGGCCTATGACATTATACTGCACCTTAAACGGAGAGATTATAAAGTTGTAAATTAGTATAAACTGCTTTATAATATTATTATTAAGTTTCACAGTCGTTGTCGTATACCGTACATTGATTATAACCCAATACAGTCACCGTAAATTTACTTTTATTTTGTATTTTGTAATATTCATATTGTATTTTATTTAAAAGTACACGGTCAAAACTGGATTCTTAGCCAACTCTAATGAATTCTGCAAGAGTATATTTTAAATGTTTGTAAAGCATTATTTTACTTTTTATCAATGTACAATGACAGCTGAACACCATACATCATAGACAGATGACATGTGAGATCTTATCGTTTAATTTATGAAAAAATAAAGACCAAGTAATTTCAATAGATTTTATCAATACAAATTAATTCGCTCATAATTACGGAAGAGTTAAAAAATATTGTACACGAGTACACAACTAGTCTAAAAACATACCGTGCATTTTTATGTAATTAAAGAATTCTGCGTACGCGAGTTCTTTTCGTTATTGACGAAGCATTATGTATTATAAATTTCAATGACATTAAACAAATGTAGACTTATGCCCCGTCTTGTTTTTGTGCAATTTGGTGTATATGTTTTAATGTCATTATAATTTATGGCAACCATTTAAATAACATCATGAGCGGCATTGAAAGAAACAAAATAAGTCTCAAAACTAAGAAAAACCAGCTGAATTTTTCAAAGTACTCATAAGGAGTCGGTTTTCCAATTTCAATTCATGAATGCTTCGAGTGATGTTATGACATTACAATATTGCTTTATAGACAAACCTTAATGGGATTATGCAAACTTTGCGTCTTAAGAAAGAAAAAAGTAGTTTCAAGGAAAAAGTAGTCTTACCCAGTCTAAGTTTTAAATGTAGAGTATAAACACAACGGTGGATTTGGTGAACAAGGTTGACCGGGAGATAATTCTGATGGCATTAAGTCCACCTTTGTGTTGTGCATAAATATTAATGTCCATGTTTGTGCATAAATATTAATTAAATAAACAAATAACATTATCTCGTGATGAAGTAATGAAAAAGGATTCGGAAAATTCCGTATGTTTCATAGTGATATATAGAGTGGAGCGGTTATGAAGTAAATAGTATTAGTATAATTATATTTGAAACATCTTTATGTAATACATGCAACTATTGGCTCATAAAATTATCAGCCAACCGTTTTGTGCAACACAAAAGTTTATAAAGCGTAAATTGCTTAGAATTACATCCGGAGAGAACTTTCGAACACAAAACATCTTTAAACGACAGAGCGAGAGCAAATTTTCCATTTAAACCTTAAAATCTTTCCAAGATAATCCTTTCCCTTGAACGTTTAACCCCCCATAAGAAGTGTAAGCTGTCTGAATTTTTAATAAATTTCAAAGAGATGTCAATCGGGTGTTTTATTTTGCATAGGGCTTAAGCCAGGCGCAGGGGTGCGCGAGTACATTTCGGTGTTCGCCATTTGTTTGTCTCGGGCGCCCTTTACGACGCGGGCGAGGCCCTGCATCGCCGCTGCACTTATTGCTGGCGGAATATCAAATGATATTTTAATTGTGTACATATTGCTCCTCAGCTAGTTTGTCGACAGCCAAAGGGGTTGCGTTACACCGATACAAGGGCGACACTTGTGGCATTTGGGTAAATATTATATCTCAATTACGGGTGGTCCGTTTATAGTTATTTTGAATCGTTGATAAAGTATTAACATCGATTGGATCGTTTGGTTGTTCAGTAGATAAGAGAAACATGGTCTAGTAGCAATGTTAAAATTATTTTTTTCTTTTATATGAGACGGTGGCAAGCGAGCTGGCGTTTCACCTGATGTTAAGTGATAACCGCCGCCCATTGACATTTACAACACCATTGTAGTTGCAGATGCGTTACCGCGTTAATAAAGTGGGCCCCGGCTACCTTATGAGGCGAAATGAAGAAGTATGACACTTCCATTTCACACCGGTCTTCTATGAGGTCGTGGTACTAACCTGGACGGACCTGCCCATTCGTGCAACAATGAATCTATCCTTCTTTACAATCCTCCAGAACCTTACGGCTACCCTTCGTTTTAATGTGTGTACTGAGAGACAACAAAACTTCAATACCCACCGATAAATAATTAATCAAATTACGAATTACTTTAGAATTTCCCCTTTGAGTTCAAAAATAACACACAATGATAACGTAATTGAAACCAGTAACGACGTTATTCATAAACCATGTTATGTTTTAATTAACTCTATATTATCCTAATGTTCTAATGACAGCAATTTATTTTTGTTCAGTTGTTATCTTAGTGTTCCACGACTGCTCTATAATGATTAATGCTGAATGATAAAGTTACTTTTATTCTATTTTAATTCAGTCAGAAATTATGTATTTAGGTATTTTATACATGAGAGCGGTGGAAGCGGCTAAGGCTGTAATTCTGCTACATTTGTTGGGCTTTCTAGTGGTTGTCGAAGAACAGAAGTTATGTAAGATAGATGAGTACGTTATCTTCGCAAAACATTTACAAATACTATATTCCGTGGAGTATAGTATTTGGACATGTTTTCCGAAGATAACATTTTGAAGTAGCTATAGCCTCAGTCACCGTGATAGCTCAGAGGCCCAGGAATCGCTTTCACTTCATATTCTCATTTTTTATATCAAAGATAAATTTAATTTCCCAAAGGAGAAAGCAAATGATTTACACTCCCTTTCATACTTGATCAACCTGAGCTCAAAACTCGGTACTAGCACCAATAAATTTTTTTATTTTAATTTTAAGTACTGACTCATCACGTGTGCAAGGGTGAAGGAAAACCTCGCGAGGAAACCTGCATTTTTTCGAAATGAAAATAAAAAATATTTCGTAGCAATAAGAAGTCCGCCAATGCGCACTGGGGTAGTGTGGTGGACATTGCCCTAATACAAGGGAGGATATTATATATTACATTTGCTCAGCTGTGGAACATATGTAGACTTACTTTTCTTTACTTTTTTTAGTCTCAGCCTGAGTCGATAAGGTGAGCTAAAAATATTTGCATTAACATGTCTCGGTGACATTCTATTTATAGCTAATTAGATTTAACTACCATCGGTTTACGTAACGAATTTATAAATTTATTTTTCTTCTTTGTGACTTACATTGGACAAATCGTTGTAACTCCGTTTCGGTCTTATAGAACCTCGTTGAAAACTATTATCAAAGGAGCTGCATTAGTTACAAGCTCAAAAAGGGTAATAGATGCACGTCTCGCCCGCCATTGTCTTAGCCGGGGTAATCGCTTCCGTGAGAGCACCGCTTGGCCGGCTGGCATGGCATCGGCCGATCTGACAGTTTCAATTTGTATGCCAACCGCCTCCCGCCCACCCCGTACGTTCTCACGCCACTTTTGAGTTTTACTTAATTATTATTTCTCATTTCGACGGCGAACACATGTTCGGCGCTTTTGGCCGTGAATAATTTTATTGTCGATCGTGTCGACGTTGTGTCTTCGGTTCTTTTTTTATACCTGGAGACAATCGAATCGGGTGGATCGTTTTCGATGATGGTGGTCTTTGATGTTGGAAATAAGAAACGGGCTAGACAATGTAGCCACGCAGGTTCGGTGGACGATCTCCAGTTCTTTTCCGTCTTGTAAAGCATGTGCAATATTTTTTAAATTAAGCAATCACACTTTGTATTAGAAGATTGAACCAGTGAGACTAAATCTCCATTGGTTCCCTAATTCCAACTAGGCCCCACAAATATGCTATTTTGTATATACCGAAATCTACCTTCGTATTAAATACAATACACTCGAGTTACACGAGCGTCTCCACTAAAATTTAAATTACCCGAAATAATAACATATATTTTTAATTCTATCCATATCAGTTAGTCGTTACGGTGACAGTGCGGAGCGGTTAATCATTACGTACATTAAATTGCCGATCTACTTCAAGAAGTAGATTAACGCTATTAATTCCTGTCTAAAGACTGGTTGTGTGTAGAACTGATATTTATGCGATATGTAAATGATTTACTTGCGCGAAGTGCCACAAAAAGTACTATAATTTACACCGAGATAAATATATTTCGGAAAGAGGTGAAAAAAGCAACCATAAGTTATCGTCGATCGCGGTGTATATTTCTTGCGTTACACGATTCGTGCGCCTGTGGACTATGCGCGTACAGTCGCGTTCATATCTTTATGATGAATGAGCGTGTTCGCCGCGATTGACGGAGAAAGAGGCGCGTCGGATCGAGCACGCTTCGCCACCTACCTATTCAGGATGTGTCGGCTATGGCATGGATCTAATGGTCGCGTCCCGTTTCGGACGTACTTTGAATTGCCGCTTTTTGCCGCGCTTCTTGCGGCCCAGTACGGGCCGGTGTAACGGCGTAAACAGGAAACATCTTTCATACGACACGAGGGAACCGGAGATGTGGACGTCGCGCTCATATTTACGTTTCGATATTTAGACGGGCACAATCCGCTGACGCTATATGAATATTTCATTAGAGTGCTAGTTTTAACTCATTTTATGGATGCAAGTTTTTTTGGAAAGATTTGATGTTTATTTATAAAACATTAAATTGCTAAAAAATAATGTGATTGAATTGAATGATAAATTAGTTCTATGCTAAACCTTATGATAGCTATATTTCGATAAAATATTATGTCCATATTTCCATTATTAGAACGTCAACATTAGTTTTGGAGTCAATCAGAATAATTAAAATGAATATATGCTTAATATATTGATGAAATGCTAATATGATTAAAAAACCAACCCGACTCTACCTATTAAACCGTTCTGACCACTTACTTATGCAAGTATTAACGCAATACATAAATGTATGTATTGCGAGAATCACATTAGTGACATTAAAATCCTCCTTGCATTCGTTAGCCGAGGCTCGGTATGGCAAAATATGTGCACCGACCCGATCTCGCTGCCCGCTCCGTATGATTTTCAGAAATGGCCACGGCATATAGGCAGTAAGGATTCAATATTTTTATGCGCTACGTTTTTCCTTAGTGGTTGTTTTTACGGCCATTACCGTATCTAAAGTAGGAAAATCGCTCGAGATGCTACATTCTAATGACGGCTCGCAAGCCCGCGCGTGCGCCGCTACTTGGCCTTTCGAGGGCTGCTGCGCCTTCGCAATGGATTAGTTCAATAAAATAATTATTTTTTGTATACAAAATGGGAATGATGTATATCAACATATAAATGTAAACGCATTTGGAGCTTTATAAGTTCGGTGAAGGGAGGAACACTTCCAAATAAATACCTACTCTGGGTTAAAAGACCTTCAGTTCATGAAATAAGCATTATAGTCTTAATAGTATAGACATCATAACAATATTAAAGGTGGCTCAAAGTTTATAAAACTAGAGTATATTTCACGTATAATCCCATATTTTAATGTGAGGTAGCAATCGAACTGGCGGTTCACTTGATGTTAAGTGATTCCTATTATCCTAATTCCTATTATTTTTTATGTGAGAAGATGGCAGCGAGGTGACAGTTCACCTAATAATGTTAAGTGATAATCACCGCTACCTCAGTCACCAGATGAAACACAGAAGTACAACATTTCCACTTCACGCCGTGAATTTGTGCCATCTTCTGTGAGGTCGTGGTACTTCCCCGGATGGACCTACTCATTCGTGCAACTGTTGCTTGGTCCAACCGCAGTTATAAGCCATACAATTTCGAATAATTCAGTCATTGAAATACTCGATGATTACATTTATTAATATGCATCAGTACAAAATTTTGTAGAAACAAAATTGTACCGACGTGAAGTACACCTTGTGCATTTGCAATTGAATATATGCCCCGCTACTGACAGCGACCCCGAAAGCGGGGCCGCCCCGTCAAACCGTCCCACCGCGACGCCCGCCAAAAAGGCAACCGCGACTGCCCAGTCGGAACCGACATTCGCCTCCGAGCGAAAAAATCAAGCCACCGCCGCCAATAATAATTCAAGAAAAGGCAAAGTGGCACCAGGTGTGTTCGTGGTTTGAACGCCACAACATCCGAGACCCCCGGTCCAAAAATACTAATATGGGTATCCGCGTATACCTAGACTCCACGGACGATTTCCGCCGCGTAACAAAATACTTGCGCGAAGCCAAGGTAGGTTTCCACACCTACTCACTACCCGAAGAGCGTAAACTTCGGGTCGTTATCAAGGGCGTCCCGAAAGAATCGGATGTCGATAGGGCTAAGGTCGACATCCGCACACAGGGATACCCTGTGCACGCCGTACGTCGGCTCAGACACCCTCGCACCCGTGTCCCTATGGACATGGTAATGGTTGAACTTGACCCTACCCCTGAAGGTAAGGCCATCTTCAACCTAAAGAGGGTCTGTGGGCTCAGTGACTTAGTCATCGAGCCCCCGCGTACATCAGGAGTTGTGGCACAGTGCCACAACTGTCAACATTTTGGCCACACGGCAAACAACTGCTTCGCTCACCCTAGGTGCGTCAAATGCACCGGTGACCACGGCACATCCGAGTGCACGAGGCCTAAAGATTGCGCAGATCCACCGGACTGCATAAACTGTCACGCTACCGGCCACCCGGCTAGTTATAGAGGCTGCGCCAAGGCCCCGAAAACTCCCGCGAGAAAATCTCCCGCGAAATCTACGTTGCCCAAACCCGCGCCCGTTAAATTCATTCCCGCGCGCGTACCCGTCATAAACGCCTGGGCGAAACCCCAGGTGGGGCCGCGCAGGTAACCACGCCGGTAATCCCGGTCGCCTCACGACCGATCGCACAATCGCTGCCCGCCTGTCAAACGGCGCCGCGGCCGCAGGTGCAGACAACTCCGTCGGTTTTCGCGGAAAATAAAGACGACCCATTCGCGCAAATCGCAAACATCTGCAGCCTATTAGACACGATCAATAGGCAGGAACTCGCCGTATTGTCCGCTAAAATAGCGGCCGCCACATCTTGCAACGAGCGTCTTAGGGCAATTAGTCAACATAAAACGCTTGTGGAAGCCCTTTGGGCTTTTACGAGCCAACCGTAAAAGACAATAGTCCGCGCAATAAAACCGCACTCCGCCGCGTCGTTAATTAGACCCATAAAAACACCTTAATGGGAAGTACAACCGCAGGTAGAACAAAACCTCGGGCTCTGGTTGTTTCGTATTTCAACGCAAACGGCATAAACGGGTCAAAGGGACGAAATCGCGGAATTTCTTCGCGATTATAACGTAGATATTTTTCTAGTGCAAGAGACATTCTTGAAGCCTAGTGTACGCGATCCCAGAATCGCAAATTACAACATTGTCCGCCACGACCGGTTAGCAAACCGTCTGGGAGGCACATTAATTTATTATAAACGGTCCTTGCACTGTTGCCCGCTCGACATTCTAGAGCTAAGTCAAATAGAGGCATCCGCGTGTAGGTTAGCGCTCACCGGCCACAGGCCGCTTGTACTAGTCTCAGCCTACCTCTCGGGGAATAGAACCTTACTTCAAAGCGACCTAGATACGCTACTTAACTTAGGCCCTTCCGTGATAATTGCAGGAGATCTAAACTGCAAACACGGCTCATGGGACACCAACAGCATCCCAAATAACAACGGAAAGCATCTCTTTAGATTATCCGATAACCTAAACTTTAGCATAGTCGCTCCCGCGACTCCCACTAGGTATCCTACGGTGGACAACTACCAACACGCATCACCAAGTGTCCTAGACATCATGTTATTCAGGGAGGTCTCGCTCGACATCGAGTCGATAGAGACAATCCATGAACTAGACTCAGATCACAGGCCCGTCCTGTGTAAACTGGGCCAGAACGCCGGCGCGGTCCCTCCGACCAAATCCGTAGTGGACTGGCATCGTCTTGAGGTCAAACTCAAGGCCTTGGACCCCCAGGACTTAGTAGACCTACCCGAGACGACAGCTACGTTCGATGACGCAAATCGAGCGATAGCGAGTCTCCGAGAAACTATTACTTCCGCAGTCACAGACTCGGAACGGGCGGTGAAACTGTCGGGCGACCGACGGTTTAACTTTCCGCCCGACCTAAGACTGCTAATTAGACAGAAAAATGCAGCCAAACGCGCCTTCGACCGATACCGATCGGAATCGAACCGAACCCTACTTCGACGCCTTCAGCTAGAAGTCAAAGATCGTGTATCGGAACACCGACATACAACGTGGGACAATCTCCTAGAGGATATCGAGCCATCGCACACCACCTACTGGCGGTTGGCCCGCAGTCTGAAAGCAGACCCCAGCGAATCTCTACCGCAGTTAGTTAGACCTAATAGCCCTAGATGACTCCGAAAAAGCCGAATGCCTTGCGGACAACCTAGAGCAGCAATGTACGCCATCGCGCGAACACACCGATATAGTCCACCTAACGGAGGTGGACCGCGTAATCGAGACTAGGGCTGCGCTTCCACCGGAAGGCGAATCTTTAAATTCAGTGACCCCCGAAGAGGTCCAAGATATTATTAAAAATCTAAAACCGAAATCCGCCCCGGGCCCAGATAATATCAGTAAGAAAATTCTTAAAGCTCTCCCTGGGCCGCTTATCTGTTTACTGGCGACCATTTACAACACTTTACTCTCCAGTTGCTCCTTTCCCGACGACTGGAAAAAAGCCACGGTTATCGGCATTCGCAAGCCGAATAAACCAGCCAACCAGCCCTCTAGTTATCGTCCCATCAGCCTCCTAAGTTGCCTGGGGAAGCTCTACGAGCGGCTTTTATTAAACAGGCTCAATGAACACGTGTTTACCAACGGCCTTCTGCCGGCGGAACAATTCGGCTTTCGAGCTAGACATTCCTGTCCCGATCAACTATTCCGCCTAACGGAACATGTCCTAAAAGGCCTAAATCACCCTAAACATATTAGTACAGGGGCTCTTTTCTTCGATGTCGCAAAAGCATTCGACAAGGTCTGGCACAACGGCTTGCTTTACAAGCTGTACACACTCAAAGTGCCAGATAGGCTCGTACACACCATCCGGGCCTTCCTGTCAAACCGCTCTTTTCGATATCGAGTTGAAGGCACCCTCTCCACAAGCCGCCGCCTCACGGCCGGCGTACCACAAGGCTCCTGCCTCTCTCCTTTGCTCTTTACGCTCTACACGAGCGATATACCTAAAGACCCCCACGTCAATCTCGCGCTTTTCGAGGATGACACGGCGCTCTTTTATTCAGACCGCAACCTTAGACTACTAACCACTCGACTCCAAAGCGCCGCCGACCGCCTCGGCGACTGGTTCCGCAAATGGAGAATAGAAATAAATCCCGAAAAGAGTGTAGCGATTCACTTCACACGAAGTACTTACCCGTCACATCTTTATAATGGTCCTCGCCAATGCAGAAAGTTGGGGCAAATATCCCTTTATGGCCCACCGCTCCCCTGGGAGAAAAAGGTCAAATACTTAGGAGTCACTTTCGACTCGCGTATGTCATTTACTACGCACAATAATAACGTTCGTAATAGAGCCGCGTTCGTCTCCGGCCGGCTACACAATTTAACTAACGCTAAAAGTAAAATGCCCTTAAGGCACAAATTATTATTATATAAGACCTGCGTACGACCTATTATGTCCTACGCATGCATGATCTTCGCCCACACGCACCCTACTCGCTTGTATAAGCTGCAAATAGTACAAAATAAGTTCATCCGCCGTGCAACCGGTGCGCAGTGGTATCAACGCAACGTCGATCTGCACAGCGATTGCAGACTTCCGACGATTCGCGAATATTTTAAAGACCTGACCAAACGGTTCTTCGATAGAGCCGAACATCATCCCAACCCTCTGGTGGTAAGCGCAGCAAATTACCAACCCGACACAAACGCGAACGTCAACAAGCGTCCACCGCATCGAACCCGCGTCGAAAGGGGACGACCCGTCCCGACCGGTCGCCCTCGCCGATCGCGAACGACCTAGCCCCGTCGAGGAAGGGGACTTAGATACGTCGGACCCACCGCCGGGGGTCCCGCCGGACAACACTACACCCACAGTTAGTGCAACAACAAACACACTAGTTCGCCCTCGCCTCCGAGCACGGCGAGACCAACACAACGCGTACACAAGGTACACCCGCGTTCCAGGGCGGTTCTCACCGCCCCCAGCCACCAATTAGCACAGTCGACGGCCATCGGGGTCTCGGTCCGCACCGCAACTACGATGGCCCTTAGACGACATGTCGTAGTTAAACGCACGCATGAGCACATGCGCGGCCCTAACCACAGCGGAGGGCCCAAACCCGTGGGTTCTGGCTAGCCCACCGGTTCTGCATCAGATGAAGCTTTAATAGTCTCGGGACTGAAAGCAAAAACATCAGTTAATACAAGATACAAGATACAAGGCAATTGAATATAATGTGATGAAAATTTCTTCTATTGTACTAAAATATAATATAAAGAAAACAACAAAAACATCATTAATCTTGATACAAATAACATGAGTGATACAACCCTAACCGGTTCTGCTGCGAGTTATAAGTCATACACATTTTAAAGGGTTTAAGAGATCGATATGAAAACATGTCGCTGCAATTCTCTTTATATTACGCGTAGTATCTACATATTTATATATACTACCCATACGTTTGTTACCTGTTAAGTTTAGTTTTATAATTATAAGCATGACTTAATTTATAACTTTTTGTTACGGTTCATTTGATAATCAAATAAGAAGCATACTCTCGCAACATACCCGCTTAATTGTAACATTTTTTTGAATTCAATTATTGGCTTATGTCTTACTTACTGAACCATTTATTAACCCTTCGTTTATTGATTATTAAAATGCTATATTTGCTTGTTATACAATTACTATGTTTACACTACATTTTATTGGTTTATGTCTTACTTATTGAACCATTTATTTACCCTTCGTTTATTGATTATTAAAATGTTATTTTCTTATTATGTAAAGTATTTTTAACATGCATAGTGAACTACATTTTATGTTGATAGTTCAGACTTCAATTCTTAATGATTTAACCTTATTTAGCTTTTTCAGTGGAAATTTTTAAATTGTGAAGTTTAATAATTGAATGACCAGGGCTACCAGTATTTGCTTCAACTGCAATAAAATGATGTCGTTAGACCCAACTTTTCCTAATCGCCGCGACTCGAAGTTAGCCGTCAGACGTAAATACTTACATTCGAAAATATTCCTGCGAAAATTCGAAGTATGACCCATTTTTCGCGACGCGAGCAACTACCTATTATCCCTATATAAAGTGATACCACGGAGGCGCTGCGTAAGCGAATGAGAGTTGTCTTAAAATTTACTATAGCATAAACAGGACGTCGTAAGTAAAAGCGGCGGAGGCGGGGCGTTTAGCGCGCTAATTTGAAGGGGTCCGTGTCGCTGCACGATGGCATCTTCACGGCTTACAATAGTAAACAAATGTGTCGCTCGGACGCAATTACTCGGTCGGCAGATGCGCGACCCGCGGCCGCGTCACGCGCTCCACCGGACTTATGCTAATGGCCGCCGCGCCGCGTAAATTGGGCCTCGCTGCAGAACCAAACGCGTCCTCTTTATCTTATTGCTCGCTGGACGCCTGTGCTATGCGCCTTAGGGTCAGCGCAATCGAAAACGGCCCGTACTCCGCACGTATAGAGCGCGTTTTCAATCGCCCCGAGCGCGCCGCCCGATCGTCGGCAACCGAAAGATCGGAGGACCGAGCGAAATCCGAATACAAAAACCGGCGCGGGAACGAACGTGAAACCGATTAAAAGGCCGCATCACGATTTTATATGCACTCTGCACTCATTTGATCTCGTGCGGAAAGTACCGGCTACTCTATTTTGCTATTCTGTTTTCAAAGATTATTTAAAGAGTGCCCCGTAATTAAAGTGATTCCTTTCCTTTGTTTATTTTAATCGCGCTTTTTGCTGCGACCTTAGAATATCCGTTGTGCAGCTCTGTATTTTTTATGTGTGACACTGGATAGGGTTCTGTTCTTGTAATGAAAAGAACAATTTGTTCATTGATATTAATTTCGATTAAAATCGTACTACTTTATTATTACATAACTTTGAAAGAAAATGTATTTCATTAATCATTTGCTAGTTAAATTTACGCAAAATGTGAAATAATCTATAATTTTCAATAATTTATAGAATGGGATACCTCATTATGTATATAACGAGAACCAGTTGTATTTTTCATCCACGGAATCCATCAACGCAGTAGCGCGATGATTGAATATTTATCCGTGGATCAACAATAATAGATCCCATCAGAGACTGGTATGTGGTATCACATTTCATATAATAAGGTTTCTATACATCGCACCGTGAAATGTGACGATAGAAAAACTTAACTAACTATAACTGCTAACGTGTGAATCGTATTAAAAAAGCTGTCAAGTCATTCGCCTTCATAAACGGGTGGCATTCGATTTGTCGTGATTAAATTCCGTCCATTAGGACACCGTTAGGCCGATCGATAGATGTGAACGGATAATGTGCTTAATAATCCGACAAATAGATTCTCCACTGCGAAATCTTCGTGGTACAAGATACACTATTAAAGTGTGATTAATAACAAGTATCTTCTTTTTGTCGTAAGAGGTACTCACTCGTATCTGTTTTATTACAAAAATTTTAGTAGGAGTTTTGTTACGACTATTAATTAATTATTAACTAAGGGAATGATATCATCATCTTTTCCGTGTATAATGTTTAATATCGAAGAAAAAATGTTTTCTATCAGAAATAGAATGACCTTTGTTGATATTACATCGTATTTTTCTACAAGAGAAGACACCGTCACGAACCAGTTAATTATGCAAAGGATGAAAAGAATAGGCAAGCTCGTTGTATTGAAACGACACGCAATACCGTTAAAGTAAGTAATTTTGTTCAATTGTCTTGCAAAGTGGAGCCGGCCAATAAACAATCGCTCATATTGAATGAAAGGAAATGTCCGTCTGGGAAATTAGCTTCGAAACAAGAGAAAACTTTTAAAGCGGCCCGTTTATTATATTAAAACGTTTCAAATTGTAAAACACGAACCGAGAACCAGCTACGGCTAATGTATTTGACTTGTCGTTTAAAGTTTTTCTGAATACCTTTCACAATGTTACGATATTTTTCGCACCATGTCTACTTATTCTCTAACGTGTTAATTATTTGGCGGATTAATCTTTAATTTTTCCTTCGTGCAGTGACAATGAAATGTAAATATTTTTTTTTGAGAAGATTGCAAGTGAGCTGGTGGTTTACCTAATAATTTACTCATATTCGTCGCCCGGGTGGTGTGGATAAATTAGGCCCCGGCTACCTAACTTACCAGACGAAACGCAGAAGCATAACACTTCCCCTTCACGCCGGTCTTCCGTGAGGTCGTGGTACTTACCCGAACGGACCTGCCCATTCGTGCAACAGCGAAAACTGTTGTCCTACCATAATCATTGATGTAATTGTTCAATTTTGATCTGGATTAGTTAACAAAACCAAGTTTAGTAAAGTGAGTGAATTGGACTTAAATGAAAGCTTTTCGTCTCGAAGTGGAGGTGGTGGAACGGTGGTGGTATGGTGGCAATATGGATAGATAACACGCTGCACGCGCCCAGCAATCCAATGAGTTCTGAAACGGGCGTAACATTCAAATTGCAAACCACCCGCGCCTGCCCGTATCAAATGTTGTTTTATAGCTAATTCCCAAATTCGGTTATGGCCTATAAACGATCCGCTGGAATAATTTAAATGCAAGCCCGCCTGTATAATGTTCGTACTTTACCCCGAAATTAGGTATTTGTATGTGGAATGCGTTTTGAAATTGGGATTCCCTTTCGACTTTTATTTCTTGCGTGGAGGGATTCCGCGGGAGACGAAAATTCGCCTCATTAAGCAGTCATTGTCGGGCGACTTTACCTGGAATCTCTTCAACATTTCGATCTTAATTTAATGTTTTAATTTCGGACGAATTGAAAAGTTTAAAATTTATAAAGTCTTGTAGGCCGCTTGAAGCACGTCATGTACGACGCTTAGGTTAAGTAAAAACACGGGATTAAAACATAAATCTTTATCTTAGTAGTTTCACGAACTTGAATTTATGTAGATATATATATGAGGCAGGACTCGTATTGGTTTGGCTGCTTATATGTATAGGTTTTGAGATATAAGTTTATGTATTTATGACATTTCAAAACCACAAAAAAAATATTTACACAGAAAACTATATTAGATTATTATCAAAATGGACATGTTTGTCAGTGTTTGTAAAATATATATAAAATATCATGCACATAAGAATCGATATTACACATATATAATTTAAACTGATGTTTATACAATAATTAATTTTGATAAAACAGTGTCCATAGCTTTTTAAACTACTAGACATTTGCATATGTATGTTACTATTTCGATTTTAAGTTTTGCCGTGTAGCTGCATTGGTCAGGGTGATATTATTAAGACATGTAAATTTTTAATTATGTTGTAAACAATCGGATTTGTTTAAAGTAATATTTTCCTCGAAGCAATTTAAATCTCATTATATAGGAAATAAAAGCCAACGGACACATAATGTATGCCTATGTCGTCTTTAGATTTTAGATCTATTAACTATATTTGTTTATGATTACTTAAAGAAAGTAGTTAGTGAAATAACAGTTAAACAACTTGAATATTAACATAGAAAAATTCTTTTTTAAATGAGAATGCGAATTATTTTTATGAAAATGAATAAATTTACATAAAATTTTTAATTAAGTTACCAACAACAAAAACAACTAATGTATTTGAAACGATCACATTTCGTCAAAACAATTAATTATATGTACGCTCTAATAAAGCAAAACTAGAGGAGTTACGAGTTGAGCCGGTACTAAATAAGTTATTCCTAAATCATTCGCGATTATCAGCCTAGGTCTGCACTGTCAATCAAGTTCAGGTAAACAATTACCAGCATTAGACGTCTCGCTTGTCATTCAAAGGAGCGTCGTAAAATACACGCCAATAGCGGGCCGTGTGAATGGTGAACCCCGGCATTAAGCGGGGCGAGCAATTTCGCAAATAAAACAATAATGATAGTGGCCAGTATAACGTTTCCTTTAATTTTATCTAGCCGGAGTCGTGAAGCGCGCGCACAAGGCCTCTCTTGTTCTACGATCGGAATACCGCGTTAATCTCGAAAACGCCACGGTACATTCTTCACTATGTTGTAATTGTATTTGAGTTTAGAGGGATTACGTGAAATCGAATCGAAGCGCAGTAAAAATATTTCTTCGTTTGCATTGGATGTTTTTTTTAATTCTGATCATCAACAATCTCTCCACCTTTGGACTTGACCTGAAATAAATGAATAAATACTTCATTATCACCAATTATCATTTGATAAGTCTCGCAAAATTGTGTGTAGGTTAAACTTTTCAGCGCAATTAAGGGCAGACATGTTTGACTTAACATTCATAAACTGTTCAAATTTTAGGAAATAAATATATACCGTCTAACATTGTGTGTGTATTCATTTATTTAAATTGTAATTTATTGCAGATACCTTAAATAAGGATGACAAAGGGACAACTTAATGCCTTCGGTTGACTCTCCCAGTCATCCCCGGGCGTGGATTAAGAATATATTCTAATAATTATAAACTCAAATGATACTTTAAAATATATATGTAGACGTAAGGGACTGTAACGCATTGTCTAATGGTAATCGGAGATAGGCCGCTGGCGATGTCCACGTCAGTTGGACGGACAACGTCCGTCCGTCGTAAGCAGTTCTGCTCGTTGCACTCGTTGCGCAATTTGCAATTATTTTGTTCAATTTAGACCCGAGTATTGATCGTTGCATGTCGAATTAATGCTGATACCAACTTGGTATATTACTTTACAGTATCAAGCTATTCTTCTAGAGAACTGAAGACGATTTATCAAGTTCCGACGGGATGACACCGATATCTAGTTTACAGACACAATTCAGATGGAGAGGTTACTGTAGGATAACTACATAAATCTAGGCACTAGAACGTTACCAGCTAAATAAATATCATAGAACTAGATCAAACAACTCTATAAAGAGAATAGAACTGTTTACATAATATGTGAAATTTACCGGAAATTTTGTTTCGTTTAATAAGTTCATGAGGAGGAAGATGATGAATAACATTTAAGGTTCACTCCAAGGTTTATATAGCTTTTACGAGGCATCTGATGTAAGTTGAAATCCGCAGCATTGATGCTTACTGCGTATTGATGGTGGATTGTCAAATGAATGGAGAAGTATTCACTTTTGTGAACAACGAGAGTGAAGCATTTTTGGCTATGGCTTCTACATAACAATTAAATAGCAAAGCAACTCAAAAGCGAGTTACCTTGTTTATTACCAGGGATGTGAATAATCTTTATTATCTTAAACAGAAAGCCATGAGCCTGATATAGGCCGATACCTTTTTGATAACCGGAAATAACGCACGCAGATATTTTATCAATTGTCTGAGGCTGAATGGAATCTTAGGAATTTGGCTCAGGACTAGTGTAAATGCTGATAGTTAGAAAGATTCTTTTATTATCGACAACTTTAATAATATAGTAACAACAGAATTTTTGTCAAACGAGGTGTTTTTTCCAGGGTCTGCTATCTAGAGCGGATTGTTTTTTACCCAAAAATGACAAACTCTTACCAATTGTAAAAACTGTACCAATTTCAAGCGATTGTCTCGTCTTGACAATCATCATATCGTCTTGACAATAATCGTCATATTAACCTTATATCAAGT